CTTGACATCGCATCCATAGGAGTCCGCTATAGCTTGTTCCCTAGGTTGACATGGATAGCCTATTTATATGTTAGCTCGACCTGCATGGGAGTTCGCTAGCGTAACGTACCTTCTTGTTGGTGTATGCCTCGAGACCAGCCTCGCCCAGCTCTCTGCCAATACCAGACTGTTTCACACCCCCGAATGGAATACGGATATCGGAATCGTTGCTCGAGTTGATCCAGACCATGCCCGCTTCAATACGTCTGGCAACGCGATGAGCCTTGGTGATGTTCTCGGTGAAGACGGCTGCACCGAGACCGTATGTTGTGTCATTGGCACGGTTGATCGCCTCCTCCTCTTCCTTGAACGAGCTGATAACGACGAAAGGGCCAAACACTTCCTCGCGGTAGATCTTCATGTTGTCTTTGACGTTGGTGAAGATGGTAGGTGAGACGAAGAAGCCCTTGCCACCAGCGTTCTTGTACGCTTCTCCACCTGCGATGAGAGTGGCGCCCTCCGACTTGCCAGACTCGATGTACGACAAGACGCGGTCGAACTGCGTCTTGGTGACCTGCGGCCCCTGGAATGTGTCGTCTTTGAAGGGATCGCCAACCACAGAGGTGGTCTTCACGTGCTCCTTGAACGCCTCGACAAACTTGTCGTAGATGCCTTCTTGGACTAGAATTCTTGATGTCGCCGTGCAAACTTGACCCTGGTTGTACCTACATGGTGTGAGCTCAGTTAGGAGAACAATGTAGATATGACTTACATGATGCCAACGTGACTCCACTTGACTGCTTGATCAAGGTCTGCGTCGTCAAAGACTACTAGAGGTGATTTACCACCTGTCTCGAGGGTGATATTCTTCATGTTGACAGCCGCCATCTTCATGATCTCCTTTCCTGTGGCTGTAGATCCAGTGAATGCAATCTTGTCGACGTCGAGATGTTGGGCCAGAGCAGCACCCGCCTTCCTTCCCTCGCCGTTAATGAAGTTGACGACACCAGGAGGGAAGCCAGCCTCCTTGACCAAGTTTCCGAGGTACAGGATAGAGAGGGGTGTTTGTTCAGCTGCCTTCAAGACTACTGTGTTACCAGTGCAGAGAGCAGGTCCTAGTTTCCACGCCGCCATTGCAAGAGGGAAGTTCCATGGAATGATCTGACCACAGACACCAAGAGGCTCACGAACTGTGTAAGCCAACTTGAGAGGCGAGGTATCAATGACAGTGCCGTGGATCTTGTTGGCATATCCTGCGTAGTACTTGATAGTGCCAACAACCTCACCCAAGTCGTCGTTCAGCGAGACAGAGTAAGGCTTGCCGTTGTCCCATGTCTCGATGGTGGCCAGAGTTTCCTTGTGTTCTTCGATCAATTGGGCAAACTTGTAGAGAAGGTCAGCTCGGGCATTGGTGTCCATGTCTCGCCAGTCTGGGTTCTTGAACGCTTTCCGCGCTGCTGCTACGGCATCGTCCACATCTTCGGGTCCAGCGGCATAGACGGAGACGATCTCGCTCTCATCACTGCACCATGTTAGTCATAGCTACAAATCAAGACAGCAAGCGTACCTCGGGTTGATCGAAGTGATAGTCTCGCCCGACTTCGACTTGACGAATTCGTTGTTGATGAAGAGACCCCTTGGCTGCTGGTACTTGCGACCGTTCGGCGCCGTAAGCTCAACGAAGAGGTCAGACATGTTGGTTTGAGTACTGTAGTGTCTCCACAAGGGACGGTAACAACTTGTAGGAGCTCTGCGTATCGAAGTTTGAAAGGGAACAGATAGTTTGGAGCGAAGTGAAGCGCGAGTGAGGGCGGAGTAGAGACAGGACATCTCCTGGCCGGCGAGGAGACAGCTAGCTATCTATAGGCTGCAGACATGTAGGACGCTGATGACGACCCGCGGGACAGCCGTAGCTTCCCTTGATAGTGTGGACCCCGCCATCGATGCCCGTACCTAGCTTATCCGCATGCAACTGCCTCTTTCAGACGCCCGTCGTCCCAGTATCGGCCTCTCTCATCGACTTTATCAACCACGGCTATAGATGCGACACGTCCCCGAGGTCCACGGGCTGAACAGACGCGTGCCGTCATGTGAGTAGGCGAGGCGGGCTGGGCAATCGTCGCGCGACGCGTCGGCGTCCAGAGTCGGCAACAGCCCTGTCGCTACCCCACCACCACCACGAGAAACCCAGCGCGCGCATCCAACAATCTTCTTATTCCCGATCCTGCGCAAACCGAGACTCCCCACCGACTACACACCGGCCGCAATCCAACGTTTGTCACACAATGTCGCGAGGCAGCACCACAAAGATACAAACCCACTTACTCAGACTGCCGCAGACACTCGCCGCGCTCCCTCTCGCCCTCGCGGACCCCACCGTAGACATGGTGGAAGAAGCGACGCTGCCCGTTACCCCCGAAGCCGAACGCCCCGATGCCTCGATAGACGTTGCGCACTCGCTCGAATACTGGAATAATGTCTCGCCAGACGTCAATGGCATGCTCGGCGGCTTCCCCCAAACTTCGCGCATCGACTTGCAGGGTTCTTCAAATTTCCTCACAAAATTGCGCCGGGGCAAGGCGCAGGGTTCTAAAGAGCCGCTGCCGCCTCTGGAGCGTGTGGCAGACTGTGGCGCGGGCATCGGACGTATAACGAAAGGATTGCTGCTGGGCGTCAGTAAACAAGTGGACATAGTAGAGCCAGTGAAGAAGTTCACAGATGAGCTGGTACAAAGTCTGGGGAACGGCGAGTATGCCGGAGACGGAGACGCAAAGTCTGGCAAAGGCCAGGTAGGAGAAGTCATAAACCTGGGGCTGCAGGATTGGATACCAGAGCCGGGCGCATACGATGTGATCTGGAACCAATGGTGTGTGGGACACTTGACAGACGCACAATTCGTGGTCTACATGCGGAGATGTGGCGAAGGCTTAAAGAAGGCAGAGGGCGATGCGACAAGCCGGAGCTGGATTGTAGTCAAGGAGAACATGTCTACGGACATCCATCACAAGGACATCTACGACGATGAAGACTCGAGCGTCACGCGGTCAGATAAGACGTTCCGGGCTCTGTTCCAGGAGGCGGGACTGAAGATTGTGGCGACGGAGCAACAAAGGGGGATGCCGAGGGAGTTGTTCCCGGTCAGGATGTATGCGCTCAGACCTGAGTAGACGCATAGACGGTCCTTGTGTTAGTGGGCTAGGATGTCAGGCGCAGGAATCATGATACCCCAAGCATCTTTATTAGAATGAACGCTATTGCCATGCTTACACTCATCTCAACCCTTTGATATCAAAACTGCCGTGCCCCTCATCGTGCCTCTACACCTCACCAATCTCCGCAAACTTATGCGCAAACCCAAGCGAAAGCACCGGTACCCCATCCACAGGTTCATGTACCGGCAACTTCCCTACCGTGACCTTCTTCTTCACCACCTTCGGTTTCGCAGCATCCTTCTCTTCCGTTTCCGGTCCCCCAGACGTGTCCATGACATCTTCAAATTCCTCTTCCTCCTCTTCTTCATCCTCGTCCCCTTCCTCGCCTTCTTCCTCACCGTCATCCGCACCCTGCGCACCAGGATCCGGGTAACTAGCCGGATACTTCTGCCTGAGATACTTGATGTCGAAAACCTCTTGATGCGCATGTTTCCAGAGATCCACAATCTCATCCGCAGAAAGCACATTTTTAACACGGGTAGTGGGTATAGCTTCAGAGTCTAGTCGTTCCGACTCAGGCACCGCGTCTTCGTCGTCTTCCTCTTCCGTGGTGGTGTTAGTTGCGTCTGGCTTCCGTGGTGCGATGCCCCATTCTTCGGGTACGAAACACCACTCTGATGCTTTTCGGATTCGCTCTTCCACCCAACTTTCCTCCATGGGCTCTAGCCTCTTTCGTAGCAACGTGCCTGCCATTCCTGCTGCCATACCGCCTCCGGCATTCATCGGGAAAGAAGGGTTGGGAAATGGATGGAGGGCTTCGAATTTCGCTGTGTTGGTTGGTAGAGCTTGTATGCTGGTCATTCTCCGTCGCACGTCGCGCTCGACGAGGACTGCATTGCCTGCGGCGTCGACCATGGGGTTGCCGGCGGCATCTTTGGAGGGGATGTGATGTTTTTGAGTTACAAGCTTGGATTGATGCCGATAGCCGCCGTTTATGAGGAGATGGATTGAGTTGAGATACGATGTTACTGTCCTGGTTGTTTGTTGGATTTGGGGCCTAGCATCTCGTCAGCACGTGTCTCGCTGGGTACGGTGATGGTCTTAGTTCCGCACTTCAAGGCTGGCTTGAGAAAGACGTAATAAACGGAGATATCTAATTGCGCGTAGCAAAGAAATGAGACGCGAAGAGTTCAAACCAGACGACGCGTACGCGAGACCAAGCTGTATAACAAACACACCCGCATCCCAACGTGAACTCACTACCAGCTGCTCACTTACCAATCTACAACCTCGCCCCGACTCATCTTATACTGCATCTCGGCCTGTAACCGTTCCATACCCTTGATCATCGGCATCAACTGACTGCGCAGCTGATCCAACAACCTAATGTCCTCCCGATCGGGCGCACCCTGGAAGTTTTGATTCATCTTTGCCTATGCTTTCCCGCTCTTTTGCCTGCGTTACAACTCTTTTCCACTAATGGCAGACTGACTTTGTGGGACTGCAGGGTGCCTGTTGGAGAATAGGGAAGGCTAATGTGAAGATGTGGAGGTGCTTGAAGATGGGTGGAGTGATTGGTTGATGGATGGGGTTTTAGCACGGCACGCTTGTATGTATCGGGCTTAGTGTACTTGGCGCTCAAAGAAGCTTGGGGAAGGGACCTCGGGAGTGACTTCAACTTCTTTCATCGTACTACAGTGATACTAGGTTTCGATTCGTCTCAGCTGGATGTAAGAGGAGCTACATAATGTTTTTGGCAATGACAGGTGAGATGCTAGAAAGACCGAACTACTTCGCAAACAAAGCAGCCAGCGCTCCGACCATCCCTCTATTACACCCGTCCATAGCCTCAACTCTCGCGTCCACTCATCAGACCTTCTCTCCAACAAGTGCAACAGCACTAGCGAAACCTGCTTCACGCTTAGGCATGACAGACAGCTTCCCCTCATCGGGGTACCAATCAGCCGTGTGGGTAATGTCACTCTCTCCGTCCGCGTCCCTGTTGACGGCAACGGGAAAACCAAAGAGGCGGATGGTCCCGCCGCTTCCAACATGACTGTGAAACTCTGTGATCGTGTCGCCAGAGAATTCGATTTCGAAGGCTAGGTTCGAGACGACGACGAACTTCACGACGCGGGACAATCCCTTGACTTCGTCTGGGGCGTCGCTCTTGAGTTTGTAGGTAGAGCTGCCGCGGATGTCCCTGTTTCTTGAGTAAGCAACTGTCTAGGTAATATGTTGAGAGGGGATGGAGGGAAGGGATGTGCACATACCACCTTCCCGATTGGATGTCAATCGCGCGGAATTGATCGTCCCAAGACATGGTGATTGTAGTTTGGAGTTGATCTCCGTAGCTGATCATGGAGCTCTCCTCGCACCGGTCATCGTTGACACCTAGAGAGAGCCAACGCTCATACTGATCACCGCCTACATTCGTATGGTTGAAGCTATTCACATCAACGCTGTTTCCTGTGTTGAAGTCGAAAGACACTTCACTGCGCGACTTGTTGGCATCGCCCCGCTTCGTCAACCAATCCGTCACCTGCTCGGTGTAGTTCGCAGCAGAGTAGAATGGAACATGGTAGTCAGCACTGGGTGGTGCCACGGCTTTGTTGGCCGTGATCTGCTGTAGTATAGCGTCGGTATCCGAGGCACCAAGGGTGGTGACGGGCATGTTTAAGCTGGACCAGCTGTCAGCTCTTGGACCATTGTCATGAACACTATTTAGCTTACCCTGGGCGCGGCTGAGGATCAACAGCAGCTTGCATATGTTGTTTGTCCTGTAAGTACGGTCCTGCACTGGGGCCATAGGCATGCATTGTTGCCATGTCGGTTTCGTTTACCGCCATGTTATAGTTCGCCGTCATTGCATGGAGTTGTGGTTCATTCTGCACGCTCCAGGTAGAAAAGGTCTCATCGGAAACAGAGTAGTTGCTCTTGTACTTCTCCCATCGTGCTTTGGCCTTTCTTGTGGCATCATCCAAAGCATGTCTTGCTGCGTCTTGGTTCATGACTGCTGCGTGCAAGTTTTACATTTGGGCGGAACTTGGATTACCGCCCTAATTTTGCCAATCAGCATTTTTTCCTGCTATGTGGCCGATGGTATTGCTTACCAGATCAACGTGGTCCATGTACTTCAGGAGCGCACGGGAGAATGACTTTTTGTCAGACGGGTCGTAGAATAGGTTGTCGGTGTGCAATTGACTGTCGCAAATCTCGTACAGCCCCTGGTTGGTGTACTTTGGATCAATCAGATTGGGAGGTCCAGCAAGTGGTGCACGTTGAGGCCTAGTGCTGAAGAAGTAGGCAGCATTATTGCCGACATCATCCCCAAGTTGATTTCGGATGGCATCGCAGTAAGCAAGCCAGAATGACTTGTTGACATCGTCTGGAGACATTGTTGGAGGGTAGATTGAGAAAAGTTGAAGTAATGTTGTGTACAGTACAATATATGACGCAGTTCAGACTCGCTCTTGAGGATATTTTTGTGATATGACGGGGAAGATAGAGCTTTATATGGCAATGAGCCTCTTGGAATCAGTCGAACCAGGAGAGTACTGTCCTGTCAACACTTCGCCGAGTCACCATGACAGTGGACTATTTAGTGCGGATCCCTTCGCAGATCACGACAAAGAGTCAGCAAGCCAGCTGAAGACGCTGCCACGATGCCGTTTGTTGGCCCCATACCTGTGGGATGTGGAGAATCACGCTGCGCAAGTGCAACTGAGTAGCGAGTGTAAGACGTCAAATTCCGAGGCACTGATCAAGCAAGCTGAGCTTGATTCCATCATTGGTGTATAGCTCATACGACTGGTCGAATTGTAAACTTTAAACTTCGGGCGTTCGGTACATCTACGGAGCTCATTGGCGATGGCGCAGGGGGACTGGAATCGAGCCAAGCCTGAAGGAGGCAGTATATAGTATCTCTTGCTACAGGCGCATGTACCTGTATTTGCATATGATGTCATACCACGCATTGGGGAGCGATTCTGGGGGTGAATCGAGTCATGGCGAATGCGATGATGTCTGCAGATCTCTCTGATGTGAATAGAGAGGAAAAAGAAATCATAGGCGAAGTGGCAGCGCAGCTGCCGGCATGTTGTTCGGACTGGCCGGCACTAGTAAATCATTCCGATGTTCGTGTACCTAGGTAGTCTGCATCCGTATCCTTCTGACATGCCCGGCGGTCAATCGGTTCATAGCTGCGGCATTCTTTATTAGGAGAAAGTACAGCTAGATGAGTTTTGCAGTGCTTCAAGTCATACTGCTCATATCGCATACCTAGGTATAAACCTCTCAAAGAAGAAGACGGGAAGGTGACCAGGGTAGACGCGCAATCTGATCAGCGTGGGCCGGCAACCTGGCCAAGCTGAGAGATGCGCATTCATTGCACGATGTCACCTTCTGACAGAACGTGGCAGTCGGCTCTAGTCGATCTTTCTGCGGGTGAGGCGGAACCAGCCTGCTTGCTGCCGTGCGGATCATCCGCTGGTCGCAGGTGTGGATGTGATCAGCGGAGTGCGGGTACTAGCTCACCCACTAGTGCGTTAACAACCCCAAACACCTTCAGGGCTCCTTCTGTAAGCGACACCATTGTCCGAGAATGGACAACATTGGCTAAGAGCTTTCGGGTAAGTGCATTTCAGCACGTCACAATGCTGCAGACGAAGATCAATATTACCCCTCATCTAGTCGAGAACGTGGGCCGCATTCCTTCACTGCATACATCCTATGCAGTGTGATACCCTGGGATTCGGGGGTCAGGGGTTTGGGGAAGGACTCGGCCTTCGCATGACTGCGACCACTATTACTGGAGATCCCATAGGTAGTGTGTAAAATCCTTGTACCTGTTAATCCTAGCGATGAGTGCGCGGAGTTGAGAAGTGTATATCATTTTTTGATGTCATCCTCAGCACTGAGCTCACACCATTGCAGGCAGCTTCGACACAGTCACCGGTATTTATATATGACGTAGAGCTTGGATAGTGTTCATTCTTCGTATTGATCAGCGACCGTGATTTCGTATCTACATAGCGCTTCATATCATATCGACATCCCTGGGTATTATTTCCATCAAACCACCCTTCACTTTCAATTCCTCCCGAATGTTGTCCAATGCCAGCAGGTACCAACCCAGTCGAAGAAGATATTACATAGATGTGTGCGTGTCGTTGTCGTGATGATGCGTCTAGGCTTGCGCCGTTCTTTGTAGTTGTTGTTGTAATGCTAAGCCGCCATTTTGCTATGCAAGCTGAGTGAAAGAAGTACAGAACGAGGGTATAAGGGAAAGTCAAACGCTTGAACGCAGCAGAACGCCAGTGAAACCCATAAATACAAGAAACTCATTATGAGTAGTAGTGAAGGAAATAGCCACCAGGACTGTGAGAGCGCAGCTCGGAAGAATTGAAGATGATGTTCAGACGCTGACGGTTCGTCGGACGCCCACCTCGGGCTTCTTCGCGTAGCCGATGAGGAGTTTGAAGCTAGTGCCGCGCTTCTCGCACTCGTTGATGAGGCTTTGGTCGCGCCAGATACTGGTCTCAAGGAGGTTGCCGGAAGTAGCGGCGCCAGGCTGGCCGGCCTCAGGTAGGACGAGCGACTCGTAACAACGTGAGTACCACCATCGACCTACGCGCGCCACCATGTCGGTGATGCCGGTATCGTTCGATTCGGAGGACGAGGTGGCGTTGAGCAGATCGGAGAAGGATACTTCAGGCTTGGGTCCTTTTGGTGCAGGCATGTTGTTTGTCTTGCTAGAGGAGCTGGCTGTGCTGCCCTTCCTCTTCGTGATGTTCTGCTTCACGTCATCGAGGTTGGGTAGCTTGCCGGCAACCGGAACGCCAACAACGCAGCGATTGCACTCAACGAAACCCTTGCGCCCGATGCCAGCCATGACTTCGTCACTGATGTTGCGAAGCGAAATGCTTTCATCTGCGACTTGCATCCTCATCTTGAGCCCACGAACAGCGCGACGAGCACGGTTGCCCATATTGACTAGGTCCATGTCAAGGACTGAGAACTCAAGGTACCCACCAGGTCTAAGGACACGCTTGGCTTCAGACAGGATGAAGCGGTGCTCGGATGAGGGAAGTGCAGTGGGGAAGCGAAGTACGACGCAGGCGAAGAAGTGCATGGGAAACGGGAAGGCCTTGCCGAGAGAGGGGTGGTAGATGTGACGGTGGTTGCTGAGTGTCGACAATGGCTCAGAAGCGCCCTCGGTTGATGCAGTGGGTGATGGATCGGGGCCCATGTCGTAGACAGTCGCTTCAGGGTATGTGAGTGCGCAGTAGTAAGACCAGTCTTTGCCAAGACCATCGATGACAAGTACGCGGTCCTCGCTTGGGTCTTTCAATTCAAAGTGCACGGGGCTGAACAAGACGCGTCCGAACGAGAGCCACTTGCTTGTCATGAGAGCGCCAAAGCGGAGGTTTGCCATCGACAAGAGCCCGTCCGCCTGGCTTTCGGCAATGTCCATCATACGCGTGTCGCGGTAGTGGCTGGTGCTGGCACTGTCGCGATCTTTGCTAGACCTTGAGGCAATGGTAGCTTTGGATTGTCGAGCACTCTGCGACAACGAGGCTGGGAGACTGGAGCGAGTTGAACGCTTTGTAGCAGTCCCAGCTGATAGCTGAGGACTGGAGGGCAAGCTCAGTCTGCCAGTAACAGGATCAATGACGCTGATCTTGCGCTCGCCGTAGTCAGAGATGAACTCCGAGAAAGAGATCGACGAAGTAGGTGACTGTGTCGAGTGCAGAACAGCAAGTAGACGAGAGCGACGAAGATGAAGTGAAGGATTGGCAACCTCATCGTTGTCTGATCCTGACATGTTGCGTGGCGCTTTGGGTCTCAGAGGCATTGGCTCAAGTGATGGGTGACTGCGAAGGCTGTTGTTCTCTTCCTTCGTGCGAGAGGTGACAGGCGAGAGCACCTGGTCGATCAGGTCGTCATACTCGTTCCAGAGTTCATCATCTGAGAGCGGCGCGCTAGGACTCGGTACGACAGCGGTACCAGCAGCAGGTGCAAAACTCCAGATACCTGAGCTACTTGAGTAGGATACCTCAGAATCTTTACGAGGTGGGAACTTGAAGAACTCGCTTCGACGATTAGCCTCATCTTCCATAGGGCTGATGGTAGCGATAGCCGATCCGTGGGTCAGAGCGGTTAGACCATGCAGAACAGGATATGGCTCCACCGGACCAGCAGTTGCGACAACAGATCCAATGGAATCGAAAGATGTTCGTGGAGGAGCTACTGGACGAGGTTGGTTCGACACAAAAGGACGAGAGAACGAACGTGAAGACGGGCGAGGTGCCTGACGACGACTAGATATGACCTGAGGGATACGACCAACTTGCGCCAAGCGACTTGGTCGAGGGGGTGGGCTCGTAGGCGGCGGACCAGGCGATGGAAGATTCTGAGGAAGAACAAATTCTTCTTGTGCAGGTGCATCGTGAATTGGCTCTTGCTCGGGCTCGGGCATGTAAGAAGGGACTGCTACATCCAGCGGCGGCGCAGAGCCTTCGTCGCGCATCGGCGAAGGTTCATGAAACGGTGATGAGGGTCGAGAAAGGTCCGTAACAGGGGTCAGGTCACCAAGCGAGTAGCGCTCAGAGTTTTGGGAAACGGATCGAACGTTCGTATCGATACTCAACTTACTCTGTTGCTGTTCCGGTTGTTGTTGTGCTTCAGAGCGTAGAAAGACCTTGGGCGAAGCCGAGCGGGGTGCTACCAGGGTAGATGGCAACACTGGTTTAGGTGGGAGAAGCATGGACTGCATTCGCTCTTTCCTCCCCGGTTCGTCATCGGAGAGGGCGCTCTCAGTCCCCTCATCGACCTCCTGCATCAACTGCTCAATGTCGTCCAATTCAAGCCCGGACTGGTCCATCAACGCGTAGTGTGCGACAGAGCGAGAAACAGTTGCTTGGTTGGAAGGGCTGGCGGTAGGGACAGCTGGTGTTGGGGCGCGTGGTCCGGCATGGGCACGTTGGAAGAAGTTCCATCTTTTTGAAGG